TAAATAAAATTTATGGAAGGCCATTGTTTTTTTTTTTTTTTTTTACTGTGCTTCTGCATTAGGTTCCAACAAGCCAAACTAAAATGTAGTCCTTTGTGTTAAGTGCCAAGTAAACAAAGTGAAGCTTTAAAGAAACAGGAAAACCCTCCAAAATAGAAGATTCACAGCAACCAGCAAAAAAAGGGCCCTAATCAATCTGTCCTCTCTGCTTTTACCCTCATAAGGAAAGTAAGCTGATGTTAACCAATTCCTGTTCCTGCCCAAGTTGTCTAACCAAAACCAACGGTTCTGCCATGCCCTGAAAAGCTTCCTCTATTTTGGGTGGGATGCTGTCCAACTTATGAATCACTTATGAAAACCAATTAGATTTTTAAGCTAAATTTGTTCAAATTTTGAGAGTTGAACCCAAGGCCTTGCACATACTAGGCAAGCACACTATCCCTGAACTTCAAATTTCAGCCCTGAAATTTTGTTTTTAACCATGTATATCCAGGAAAATGAAGTGGTGCAAACCTGTCAGGGAGCAGAAACACACTAATGTCAAGATTTTAACCCAGCTAACATTTTCTACATTTATCCTCCCAACAACCCTGTGAAGAAGGTGCTAAGCACCCCACCCAGAAGACCCTTACCATAATTAAGCAGAAACTTCCCACCATAATTGTAACATATAAGTTCCTTTTCTTGTCAGAAAGCTTTATAACAGAATAGCAGTAAAAATTTCTAAAAACAACTCAATGCGAGTTAGGACTTCCTATTTCTTGTGAGGACTAAAAACTGAGTTTGGCCACAGACTTGATGATGTCATTTCTGCTTTTGTTGTAAAACCTCTGACTAATCCAAAATATGGGACAAAAAGCACTTTCAGTGAACTTAAAAAATATTATTTTTAAGTAGACTCTTGCAAAAAAGTAAAACTTCAAGTCCCCCCCCCCCCCCCCCCCCCCCAGCCAATAAAGTTCTAAGAATTTCCAGACTCATGGTCCAGAGAATCTTTTAGGCAATAGCCCCTCTGGACACTGCAGCCAATAAACCTGCTTTCTGAAAATTCCTCTGGGTGCCTAGTCTCTTTTGTCCTACAGCAGTGCTACTTCCTAGTTTCAGACTAAGTAAGTATAGGCACTGAAACATTGAATAGTTTTCCTAGTATCACAAAAGGCAGTGAGAGTGGCCTCAGGTTTGATCCCCAGCACTCAAACCCAGAATTAGATGATACTGCTTCTAGAATTCACTATTCTTCTCCTTCTTTCCCTTAATGATGCCTGTGATACATAAGTGCTTTCACAAGCAGTTGCCCTTTCCCTTGCTTGCTGTGTAAGTCATGTGCCCTTCCTCTTTCCTATTTGGAGCATCATGGTCTTAAGCCATGTAAATATCCTGCCAGGTCAGGAGCTAGAATCAGCCTTACAGGTTTGCTGTTCTTCACCCACGACTTATGACCAGCATCCTACCTCCAGGCTGAAGGTGGGTTTCTTCTTGAAAATAGATGCTCGCCTTATTTATTTATTTTTTGACACAGTAGTGCAAAGGTTTTTGTTTTGTTTTGTTTTTGTTTTGTTTTTGTTTTTTTTTTTAGAGAGAGAGAGAGAGAATTTTTTTTAATATTTATTTTTTAGTTTTTGGCAGACTCAACATCTTTGTTTGTATGTGGTGCTGAGGATCGCATGCCAGGCGAGCGCGCTACCTCTTGAGCCACATCCCCAGCCCCAGTGCAAAGTTTTAATACAGATTTTTGTAATTGATACATTAAGAATGAATAGAAAAACTAGGATATATATGATTTGAATAGCACAATTAACAAGATTGGTCTAATGGACATATAACACTTTGTGTTCTTTTTTTTTTTTTTTTTTTTTTTTGGTACTGGGGATTCAACCCAGGAGTGCTTTACCACTAATCTATATATCCTTTTATTTTTTGAGACAGGGTCTTACTACATTCTAAGGAATAATTATAAAGAGGAGACAGAGACAAGGTGCAGAGCAGGGAAGGTGGCAAAGTGGCTCCTTGTCCAAGTGGCCATGTTTATTTATACCAATAGGTTACATTAGGTCATTAGTACCATAACTACATTATTGTTTAGAGTATGAGTAAGGTTGCTTATTTTGCAGTTACATTTCACAGTTACAACATGCAATGTTAGGAGCTTTGTGCAGCTCTCAAGGAAGTCCATTGTCTGAAGTTACAATTAGGCAGGTAGATCCAGGAGCACCAGAGCTTGGTGAAACATTGTAGTTATCAAGCAAGCAAGTTCCTTTATTCCCAGGAGTTATATGCCTAAGATTAAGATTGAAACCCTCAGGAAGAGCATTACTACAGTGGCCAGGCATCCCATGTCTTTTACAGGGAAGTTTCCCAGCAGCCAGGCATTCTGCACCTTTGCACAGAAACTTCCTAGCCACCAAGAATGACACAATCAGCAAGTTTACTAGAGACCCCAATCCCAAACACAGAACCCCTACACTAAGTTGCCGGGGCTGCCTTGAATTTGTGATCATCCTCCCTCAGCCTCCCAAGTTGCTGGGATTATAGGCATGTGCCACCATGCCTGCCCTGTGTCCAGTGATTTTAAAACTCACATTCCTTTTAAGCTATATGGAATATTCATGAAAACTGACCATTGAATAAACCTCAAATCTAGCCTTAAGATAAAAAGTTTGGTCATTTTTATACATTATATTATCTGAATGCAATGTAATTAAACATAAATAATTTTTCATGTAGTAATAAAAACATCTTATGTTTAAGATTTTTTTTAAAAAATTGTTCATTTATTTTAATTAGCTATATATGATGGCAGAATGCATTTTGATTCATTGTACACAATTGCAGCATGACTTTTCATTTATCTGGTTGTACACAATGTAGCTTGGCACCACATGTGCAGCCATACATGTACCTAGGGTAATAATGTCCATCACATTCCACCATCTTTCCTGTTCCCATACCCCCTCCCCCCTCCCTCTTGCCCAATCTATTTTTCCCATGCCCCCCTCCCCCATTATGGATCAGCATCCACTTATCAGATAGGGTGCTCCCCTTTTTTAGCACCTGGGACAGCTTAGAGAATTTTGTTGAATGAACATGAGGCAAAGTCAATTAAAGCTCCCGTAGGGAAAGTAGAGAAGTATTTTCTGGAGAATGTAGAATTCATCTTTAATAATAAAAGAATAAATTTCATTCAACGATATGGGGAACATATGAAGTTGTACAGAAGAAATTTGGGGACCATCCTAGCGGAACAAAGTAACCGATTCTTTGAACTGTCTTTACTATGATTCTATAAAACATTTAGGCTATATAAGAGAAATTCTGAACTTTCTAAGAATGAGTTACATTTGTGGGACACAAAATTTCACAAAAAACAGTTACATCTTCATGGCCCTTAGTTAACACTCTATCTAAACCTCAAACTCTGTTTTAAGCGTCCTAGGAAATGATTTATATTCCACTTCTGATACAGATGAATGGGAGTAATGGTGTTTCGCACTCAGTCTTCTCAAAAACACCATTCAGCCTTAGAACCCAGGAGTGAAAACCTTACTGTACAAAATTTTAAAATTTTAAAATTCTAAAAAATGCAGCCGCCAGGGGGCGCGCGGGCGCCGCCTCCTCAGATCGCCGCGGTTTGCTGGCGGCCGGAGGTCCAAGCCCTGGAGGCGGTCACCGCTGCCCTCGCGTGGCAGCCAGGCCTGAAGCTTTGGCGGCGTTGGTGCTTCACTCTGAGCTTTTTTCTCTCCTGCGAATTTCTGTTGTTAAGCTGTTCCCATCGCTCCTTTCTCTGCCATTCGAGAACAGAGGTTTGTTTTTTATTTTTTTTTAAATTTTTCTATTTTTCTAGTTGTTTGTTGATAGACCTTTATTTTATTTATTTTTACACGCTGCTGAGAATCGAACCCAGTGCCTCACACATGCCAGGCAAGTGCGCCACCGCTGAGCCCCAGCCACAGCCCTTGAGAACACTTTTAGAGGCTGTCCTGTGTCTGCTGTCAGAGCGTGGAAGAAGGGCAAACCCCAGGCCCTGTTGAACCTTCATCTGCAGCCTGAGACGTACACTCCTGGCTGCTGACCTCCACAGATAGCTTTTTTTTTTTTTTTTTTTTTTTTGAGGGGGGCACAAATATACTCGACATAAGCAATTCAGTGGCATTGCAGTGGCATTGATTACTTTTACAATGTCACACAACCATCTCAACATTCACCTCCCAAACTTTTGCATCACCAGAAACTGAAACTCTGACTCTGTTAAATAATAACTCCTATTCTCCTCTCTCCCTCCAGCTCCGAGGATAAGGTCTATTCTACTTTCTGCCTTTGTACATTTGACTATTCTGGATATATCATAGCAACAGAATCATATAATATCTGTCCTTTTGTGCCTGGCTTCTTTCACTTAGCATACATTTTCAAGGACATGTTGCAGCATGTGCCAGAATTTCCTTCCTTCTTGAGGCTGAATAATATTTAATTGTAGGCAGAGACCACTTTTTTTTTAACCATTGTATGTAGATGGACATTTTGGTTGCTTTCACATTTTGAATATATTGAATAATGCTGCTACAAATCCCTGCCTTTAACTCCTTTAGGTGCTTGCCTAAAGAAGTGAAATTTCTGGATCATATGGCAATTCTGTATTTAATTTTTGAGCACCTGCTATAGCAATTGCATCACTATTTTTAGTAATAATTAAAAGCATGCTTCTCTCTCTCTCTCTCTCTCTCTCTATATATATATATATATATATATATATATATATATATATTTGTCTATAAGACTTGAAATTTGAAGTCAGAGCACACCTCTATTCCATTGCCCTGCTGAGTTTCCCCAGGAGGAAAAATGACTTCTTTAAGGTCATTACTAATTAGTGACAAAACCAGTCCTAGATGGCAGGTCTCTTGTCTCTAAAACTTAGGAAAGGAAAAATTTGGCACCTGCTTCCCTGGAGGGGAATTAAAATTAATGTGGCTGTTATCTTATTCATCCTTTCAACAGGTGTTACTGACTTCCCAGTGAGTGAAGGGCCATGTCCTGCATACCCTGGTTTGGGCTGTTTAATGAGCCCAGGTTGCTGGGATGAAGTCTAGTGGAAGTTGATGGACTTATTTGCTCTTGAGAGCAATGCAGAAAATGCCTTGGTGCCTGCTAAAGTTTCCAAGGGACATGCACACATTGAAAACATTTTTCACTCTTTGGGCAGGTGGATTCCATTAATTCTACAAACAACTGAAGGTAATCTGTTTGCAGAATCATTGGTTTAAAATCAAATCCACATTTCTTTGCATGTGTTGTTTATGGCCTTCAGATTAATAATAGGAGATGTGTGTGCATGTGTGTGCATGTAAATGCATGTGCTTAGAATATATCTTTTACATGCACACAACAAAGATAGAAACTGTTACTCAATTTTATGAGTAAATATGAAAATATGATGAAGAATGTTTAGAAAAAAATGTGTGTGTGTATATCTATATCTATATCTATATCTATATATTGTCAGGAGGAGGCTCAGACTGTGGTAAAGAGATTTTGGATCCCAACATGTGGGAGAAGATCTAAAGCACAGTTGGAATAGTGGACTTGCTTTATTCAGAGGTGGCAGCAGCTTCTAACCAGACCCCAGCTCCAGCTTTAGCCCCCCACCTGTTCCATTTATCCCCCAGCCAGTTCCTAATTATTTGCAGCACCCCCCCAGTCTTTTCCAGAGGCCTTTTTTTTACATGTTAGCTTTACTTTCTTTATTAATTAATTTATTTTTTTAGTTGTAGTTGGACACAATACCTTTATTTATTTATTTATATGTTGTGCTGAGGATGGAACCCAGCTCGCACGTGCCAGGCGAGCGCTCTACCTCTGAGCCACAACCCCAGTCCTCCACAGGCCTTTTTTATATGCAGACAGACAAAGAAGACACAGTGTCAATAGGTTATATCAGTGGGCACATGCTCACAAGCAAATGTTTATGACCTTAAGGTAGATATGTTAAATCAGAGTGTTTATGACCTTGACTACACACTAAAAACATAGTCCACTGGAAGTTTTGGTGAGGGAGCCTAACTACAGCCATTTGGGGCCTGCCCTACAGTTGTCAAATACAAAGTTTAGTAACAGGAAACTAAGACTCGTGATTTTATAATTTTTTAGCTCTAATGACAGTCTCTCAGAGAGTCAAGGGATGTTTGACTCAGACCAGCTTTGTGCACTCTGTGGCAAAGTGGACCTGTAAGCTTTGAGTTAGAGAAACCAATGAAGAAGATAGGACTCAAAGGCTCCATGCAATGATTTGAATGTTTGTTCTCCAAATTCATGGGTTGGAGATCTCCTCTCCAATGTAACCCTGTTGAGAGGTGATGGGACCTTCATGAGACAATGAGGTTGCGGTGCACCATCCTCATTAAGGAATTAATGAAGTTCTTGTGAGAGTAGGTGAGTTATGTCAAGAATGGGTTATTGGGGCTGGGGTTGTAGCTCAGTGGTTGAGTGCTTGCCTCACGTGAGTGAGGCACTGGGTTTGATTCTCAGTGCCGCATAAAATAAATATTTATTTTTAAAAAGAATGGGTTGTTGTAAAGAGAGTTCAGCTTCCTTGGTTGACTCTCTTGCCTTGTGATCTCTCCCTTCATAAAATGTCCACTTGCTTTCTGATTTTCCACCATGCCTGGACCAGCACATGGCTTCACCAAAAGCCAAACAGATACCAGTGCTATGCACTTAGACTTCCAGAGCTGTGAGCTAAAATAAACCTCTTTCCTTTATAAATGGCCCAACCTTAGGTATATTGTTGTAGCAATAGAAAATGGACTAAGGTACCCACCAGCATACAGGTGGCTCCTCTGAGCTTCCTTCCTTCCCTCTTGTGACCAAGGGTAGGGGACAGGGAAACTAGAGTGATCCCTTTTCTCACCGAGTATTTCTGAAAGTGGACTGGGGGTATTAATACAGAGTTTGGTGGGGTTAAATGCATGTAAGCAGGTCAAGTGAGACCTACCAAATGTTTTACTCAGGATCTTGGTATGAAAGTCTCTTGGGATTTTCACTCAGAGCCCTGAGTTCTAGCTCCCATTTGTATTAGATCAGGGTCACCCGGGGAGACTTTAAGACATAGCAATGCCCAGGCTGGCTCTTTTTCCCCAGAAAGTCCCATTTAACTAGTCTATTGGCCCCTAAACTTCCCAGGTGATTCTTATGTGCATTCTGGGCTGAGAATCACTGCTTTGAAAAGATTTCAAGGGCTGATTCAGCCAATTCCTCCATGTTTTGAGCCCTATGTGGTGGTAACCATGAAATTAGGTCCTCTTCTCCAACTCTTTAAAAAGAATATATCTATTTATTTGAAAACCTCTATGTGATCTCCTTTTATTTATAGAAACTAATTTATAGCTCCATTTTTCTTCCCCTGGAAGGTCCTGTACTTTCTTCCTTGTGGTTGAGTTGTAACATTTGCAGCTGGTACAGCCCTGAATGCACATGGAATTATTTAGTGGTTTTTTTTTTTCTGATTTTCTTTTCTGCTTTGGACTCAGATTTATTTGCTTGATTGTTTTCATATGGGTGATGACATCATTTGTTTTTGTTTTTATTTCTATTTCTGAGGGTGAAGGTATTTGCTCCTAATGCTGAGCAGATGCACATCATTAATCACTTGAAAGAGAGCCCAGCAGAAGAGAAGAGAAATGTGGGTGAGAAAAGTGCCAGGAGAGTCCATGGGACCTTCAAGATTTGGCAGACATGAACTTCAGTGAGCTCGATGCTGTCATTTTACCGGTAAGTTAGCTGAAAGCTGTGAGACCAACTGTTCATTTTAATTAATTCTCACTGATATTAAAATTGTCTTCCTCGCCAGTGCTGCCAGCTACTATTTTGATCATCTGTGCAAGGCTTTGGGTCTGTGGTTCTCAAACTTCACTGCATATGAGAACCACTTGGGAGGCTTTTAAAAACTAATGCTGGGCTTTACATCTGAATCAGTTAAATCAGACTCGCTTGGGGCAGAAACCAATGCTAGTATTTTTCGTGTGCCCCAAGTGATTCCTCAGTGCTCCAGTTAGAGTAACCGCTGCCTACTCAACTTGGCTGCATCTGATGGAGTCCAAAGCCATCAATGCCTGTGTCCCACCTCTTGCAATTGTGTTTTTGTTGGTTTGGCTGATGGCTAGAATTTTTAAGATTTGCAGATGATTCTCACATGCAGACAAATTTAGGAAGCACTCCTCTGTACCATTGCTTCTCAAGGGACACATGAGTCATAGGCAGATCTTGTTACAAGGCAGGTGGTGACAAGTGGCAGTGGCATGCAGTCCAGACTTTGAGGCCTCAAGGCTTTTTGGAAATCACAGTGGAAGGTTTGCCTATTTCTGGACCTTTTCAGTGCACTTTTAGAATAGTCACATCTTCAAATTAAAGATTGATTTATAGGTGTTTTGGATATTTCCTTGACTTTTTATTATTTAATTCTCTTCAGAAGGAATTGTACATATTTGGTTTTTTTCAAAGCAAAGTCAATTTTATTTCAAGAGTTGCTATATTTTTGAAATTTTGGGAAACAACTTGGAGGTGTCTCATGCTGATGACTGGGAACTGTTATTTAGTCCAGGAATGAGTTGCTTATTGATATTTGTATGTATCTACTGAAATAGGTTTCTAACTGCTATTTTACATACATAGTTATTATAGTTTGAATGTGACGTGACTCCCAAAGACTCATGCGTTAAAGGCTTGGTCCCCAATGCATCAATTTTCAGAGATGGGCTTTTAGGAAATGATTAGATTGAGAGTTGTAGCCTCATTAGTGGATTAATCCATTTGATGGATTCATGGTTTAAATGGACTATTGAGAAGTGACGGAAACTGTGGGAGGTAGAGTGTAGTTGGAGTAAGGTAGGGTGTGTCCTGAAAGGTCCCTTGCTGCTTCCTCTCTGGCTCTCTCTGCTACCTTGCTGCCACAAGTTGAGCACTTTCTTCCACCATGCCCTGGTACCAATGATGTTCTGCCTCTCCTCAGGCCCCAATAGATCTAGTCCACCAGGTACTGAAACTATGAGCTCCAAATAAATCTTTTTTTTTTTCTATAAGTTTTTGATGGGCATTTGTCACAGCAATGAAAAACTGACAACCAATAGTATTTTAGATTCTTATGGCTGGGTAACAAACACTATCAAAACTGAGTGAGTTGGCCAGGCATGGTGGTGCATACCTGTAATCCCAGCTGCTTGGGAGGCTAAGACAGGAGGATTTCAAGCTCAAAGCCAGCCTCAGCAAAAGCGAGGCACTAAGAAACTCAGTGAGACCCTGACTCTAAATAAAATACAAAATAGGGCTGGGGATGTGGCTCAGTGGTTGAGTGTTCCCGAGTTCAATTTCTGGTATCCCCCTCACCCCAAATTAACCCATAGTTAACCCATAGTTCATTTCCTTGGTTCTGTGGCTTGGCCAGCTGGGCTTAGCTGGACTTTGCAAGGGCTTTGATGCAGCTGCAGTTATTGGAAGGCTTGACTAAGCTGGTTATACACAGTGGTGTTTTCAGTTCTGTGGCTGGGCTGGCTTTCAAGTCATGCATTATTCCATGGGGCAGTCTTGGGTTTTGTATAACCAAGAGACCTGTGTGGGCTCCTTACATGAGAGCCAACATTCCCCAGAATAAGCATAAGATAAACATTGGCACATTAAAATTTTGGTGGGTTTATTTGGGCAGACATTCATATATGAATTGGGCAGTACCAGTGCACAAGCAATTCAGAACTCCCCCTCAGGGTCAAAAGAAGAAAACTTTTGTAAGGTGTTCTTGGAAGCAAGACAAATAAAATATTTGATTGGTTAAAGTGGGAAGTTCCTAGTTGGAGGTTAGTTGGTAGTCTCTGATTGGTCAAGCTTCAGTTTTATTTTTGCAGGGTATTATCATCACTCTGAGCTGGTTTTCTGCTTGCTGATATAGGAGCCCAAAGTGCTGGGACATCTCAGCCTGATGGTCTTCTAGTTGAATATTTTAACACAAGAGATCTAGGCTTTCTTTCTTTCTTCTTCTTCTTCTTCTTTTTTGTCTTCTTCTTCCTCTTCCTTTTCTCTTTCTCTTCCTCCCTCTTCTTCTTCCTCTCCTCCTCCTCCTCCTCCTCCTCCTCCTCCTCCTCCTCCTCTTCTTCTTCTTCTTTTTCTACTCCTCCTTCTACAACATTTTATTTTAAGGCTTTAGGATCAAGGGAGATAACATGAGTAAATCCACTCTTGTCTTCTCCTTGTCTTCTCAAATGTTCTTTGGGACAGATTTAACATCTAATTCATTAATTAATATGATTGATATATTCATTTTGGATTTGCCCAAGGGTCCTGATTTTATTGCTTTGGAAATTATGCTTCCATAAAAGTTAAGAGTTTTATAGATTTAATGGGGAGACAGATTGGGGTTTTATTCAAGAGTAAGAAATTTGTTGGAATAAGGATACTTAATAAATGGATAATTGATATAGGTAGACGTGTAACTATTGAACCTTAGGCCCTTGCTTTCAGTGTCAGATCATTCATATGTTCTTGTCAGCTGCCTTCATTAACCTCCACTCTCTGTCTTTGCAGGTGGTCTTGCAGTGACCCCAGGTGCCCTGGAAGGGAAGGACTGCCTTGTCAACAGTTCTGTGAAGGACCCTTCCTGCTCTGCCCTCTGCTGGAAGGCCCAGCGGCTGCTGCTGTGTTTCCCCTGGGATGACAGCCAAAGCCTTCCTGCTTGTGGATTCTAGTACATCAGGGTGACAATCCAAAGGGACAAAGAGGAAGCAGAAGATGGAAAGTTCCCGGCCAGGTAAACAGGTTCTGCAGTGCTCCCTCTTTTCCTTCCTCCTGATGAGTATTAATATTACTGCAGTTCTGATAGCTTGACAAATAATCTTTAGTTATGTGGATGCAGTATTTGGTTAATTGGCTTCAGGTTGCAGGTGGGGGTGGCAAGGACTATGGTTTAAGGTGATGAGACCAGAGGGCTTTGAATCATGTGGAAGACTTATTCTTTCAAAATACATTGATTTGCTTTGTAAGGAAAAAATTCTACATATTAGTTCTCTTTTATTATATCCTTCAGCTGTGTGGATTAAATTGCTTTGATTGTTTCCTATTGATCCTAGTAAATTTGGCCTTCATTTTTCTTACTAATTGGATATTTAAATGAATTCTCTTGGAACAGATCTCTTATGTGTCTGTGAGCTTCGGTTCTGAATATTGCAGTGTTGAGAGTCCACCAGGAACTGATGGTGTTAACCCTTTTCACAATCATGGTTTCAGGCACCTAAGAACATTTTCTCCTGCTCAGTTAGGTTTTCTCATCCAATAGGTTTGCTGCTGATGACAGCGATGCTGCAGCACAGAATCCTAGACGTAACATGGATGTGAGTGAGCCCCATGGGGATGCAACCAACAGAATGCCACCAACATTTGCCTTTGTGGCATAGCCCCTTGGCTTATTTCTGCTGGGGCAGGAAAAATGATAGGGGGTTGTTTTATAGCGTATTAGAAAAGTGGTGCTTCAGCTATGGTATTTAGAAGAACTTGCCCAAGTAAAAATACTATAGCTCCAACCAAATGAATTATTTTGCCATTTGATTGTGGTACTTCAAATGTGATTTTTCCCCTTATACAAGGGATTGAACCCAGGGGCACTAAACCACTGAGCCAGCTCCCACCTCTTTCTTTCTTTCTTTCTTTTTTTTTTTTTCCGAGACAGGGTCTTGCTAAGTTGCTCAGGGCCTCACTAAGTTATTGAGGCTGGCTTTGAACTTGTGATCTTCCTGCCTCAGCCTCCCAAGTTACTGGGATTACAAGTGTGCACTATCATGCCTGGATCGAATGTGATCTTGACTCATAAAAACCATCATTAAATTATTTAGCACAGGGACTGGGGCTGTAGCTCAGTGGCAGAGCACTTGCCTAGCACCTGTGAGGCTCCGAGTTTGATCCTCAGCAGCATCACACAAAAAGATAAATAAATGAAATAAAAGAGCAAAAAAAGCTTTTTTTTTTAAAAAAAATTATCATGTTTTCTATGTAAGCATATTTTTATTTTGATTTTCAGGATTCCCCACCCCCACCCCATGGTGTGGGGATTGATCCTTACACATGGTAGGCAAGCACTGTACCACTGAGCAACATCCCCAGCCTTTTTATTTTGTAACCGTTTTTTTATTTTATCTTGAGATCTTGCTAAGTTGCTGAGGCTGGCCTAGAACTTGTGATCATCCTGGGATTACAGGTGTGTACCACCGCGCCTGGAGATTTTCCAGTCTTTAAAGTTAGAAGCAACACTCTCATGCCATGTTTCAAACAGATGGACCTTGGGCTGTTCTAGAGTTTTTCCTGAATCTTCAGGCTGGTTCCTTTCATAGGCACCAACTATAACTGTGTGGGTTGATGTGTTTTTAATAATAACCATGACAAAAAGCAGGGAGAATTTAAGTGAGATGGTGATCTTTGAATATCAATTTCTCCATTTACAACTGAACTAATTTTAGTTATTTTCTATTCATGATTTGGATAAAGCCATGTCACTTTAAAAAAGGCACTATGCATATCATACCTTTTGGATATGCTATACATCTGTAAACTGCTGGACACCCAGGTATTAGCAGGAATCAGAGTAGTTACCTGTAAAACACTCATCTGCTTTGGATATCTTTTGAATTATTGCTTTCTGTGCACTCATCCTGTGCTATTTTCTTTCCTTTTCCTTTTTATATAGGGTTGGAGAAGAGAGGATAAGTGAAGCAATTTCTGAGTGATTAAACAACAACAACCCCTCAAACTGCACTATTTCAGGTGAATGTCGTGGTGAGAAGGGACTGCACGCACACATACATACCTGCACGCACACATACATACCTGAACGTGACCGCAGAGCTCTGCTGGAGAGAAAAATGGTGCATCTTGTTGAGACTTTTGTCCCTCTTGGGTTCCCTCTAGCTTCACTTTGTGCAGGCAGGTCCCCCTAGCATTGACAAGGATGCTATAATAGTGCCACATGTCCTTTGTAGTCCCAGGAAGCTATTTAAATACATGAAGGGAAGGGTCACATGCTTTGGATTCTCCTGGTCCCTGAACCCAACTCAGCTTCTAGAAGCTGCCCTTCCTACCATGGCAGAGATGCAGGAATCATGGCACGGAAGACTTTCCTCTTTACTTATTGTCTGTCTATTCCACACTAGACTGTAAATTCACAGGAGCAGGAGGTTTTGCCTGTTTTGTTCATTGCTCCATCGCCCCACCAAGCACATCCCCTGGTGCATATGAAGCCCTCAGCACAATGATTTGAACTGAATGAATGCCTAGCATCCCCTGCAGTTTCTCTACACAGGCTTAAAATGGTCCCTGGGGCTTATCATAGAGCACTTATCTGACTGTGATCTCTCTCTCTCTCTCTCTCTCTCTCTCTCTCTCTCTCTCTTTTAGTTGCAAGTGAAGTTGCTATAAATATAATTTATAAAAATTCCTTTAAAACTCACATATTCTCATTGTAAGTGACTGAGTTAAAATCCTTGCAGCTCTTTGGTCTGTGACAGCTTTAAGTGGATTGGGCCATCAGGTCTAGCTTGCTCCCCATCAGGTGATACAACACACAGCTCAAGGAGCAGGTGCAACGGTGCAGTGGCAAGTCCCTGTGTGAAGAAGTCCAAGTTTGGGTAACATTTTTCTACCCTACAAAATCACACAAACAGGAAATGAAGTGTTTTGGGGGTGAGAAAATCTGTGCAAAATAGGTAACATGGAGGCTTGAAGCTGCTGCAGCAATAGGGCAGCTTACAAGCATCTGGGAACTAGCACTTGACCTACCCCTGACTGATAAGAGTGGCTCCCTGCAAATTGATTTATACTGGACGGCTGCTTTCCTTCTTTGAGTTTAGAATTCAGATCATTGCTAGGCAGAGGGCGCCTGCTTTAACCAGCCACTAGTTAAAACTTTGAGGGCTGAGTCTTTCCTATAGTAGAAACATTGCGTGCACATGAATTTTTCATCACTGAAAAAAGGAGTACATTCAGCGTGACCCCCGCCAAGGAGAGAGTGAAGCCAGTGCATGAATTTCTCTCTCTCTTTTTCTCTTGCTGTTTCTGTCGTGCATTGTTACACTGTAATAAGCCAAAGCCACAAGGACACTACATCCTGTATCCTTCCAGTGAATCACCAAAGGTGCATGTGGTCCTGGGGATCCCCCAAACACACACTGTAGCCAGCACTGGGGCTCCTGAAAGTGTGTCTGGTTTCAGGCAGTTTGACTCAGGACCCCAGGTGTGTGCTGGAGATGCAGAAATGCAGGGAGGGATTCTGCAATGAACTGGAGCCTCAGGTGAGTTTCTCACTAGTGGTCTGGTTTGATCCTTGTGGAGGGGTCGCTGGCCTGCACAGAAAGTCTATGACACTAAAAGTGAGCTGAGTAGCATCCTTAGTTGCTTTCCTCAAAGAAATGGAAGGGAAAACTCTAGCATTTTCCATAATGCCTTGACTTGATATTTTTTGAGCCCACATTTCCAGCTTTCTTGGGGCAGAGGAGATCACAGCAGGGCTTGCTCTTCAACCTCATTCAAGGAAGGGACAAAAGGGCTTAGCTTCAAACTACCATTCCAAAGTAAGGTCCACTAGCACTTTTTCTAAAAAGTATCTTACTTTTGACTCTCATAGAAGGGAACCATCTAGGAAGGAACTTGGAGAGTCAGTCTTTCTCCACTTCCTGTTTGACTCTGGTGTGGGGGTGGGATGTGAGTGAATGGCACACAGGCCTGCCAGTGAAGAGGAACCTTAACCTGTCTCCACAGACCACCCCTCCCCCATTTACTCTGCCTTCAAGTAACTCAGTTGACTCATAGGCCAATGCCAAGGTCACCCTGCTGCTCTTTTCCCACTCATTCTCAGGAGAGAATGTCTTCCCCACCATCTACTGTTGGTCTGATGCATCTGTCAGGGTTTATCTGAGGATATTATTAAATGTTGTCTCTAGAAATTTCTGAAACATACTGATAAAGGACAATAATTAAAATTTTGCCCCAAGATCACAATAGAAATGACTTTATCTATATCCCCTTTGATCGGCTGTATTCAAATTCATCAGTTATATAACATGTTCTGTGGAAGAGCACCATCCAGATGATACAAACCCAACAAGGGGAATACAGCACTTTCCAAAGTACTACAATCCTTAATATATAATAATTTTGTTATTGGTTAGTTCTAAATATTTTATAATTTTCATTATAATTTCTTCTGTGATCCAAGAATTAGATTTCTTGCCAGGCATGGTGGTGCATGCCTATAATTCTAGTGGCTCTGGAGGCTGTGGCAGGCGGATTGTAAGTTCAAGGCCAGAAACTTAGTGAGGCTGTAAAGCAATCTAGTGAGAACCTGTCTCAAAATTAAAAAAAAAAAAAAGGGCTGGGGATATGACTCTATGGTTAAGCATCTGTGGGTTCAATCCCTGGCGCGCACACACACACAACACACACACACACAAAAGAAAGAAAAAAAAAAGAAATAAAAAGTTTTCTTTACTTAAAAAACATTTTGAGCTTTCCTAATTATCTCTTTTTATATTAATCTTTAACATAATTGCATTATAATTAGAGAATTTAATATGTATGATCCAGTTCTTTGCAAAGTTGTTGAGGCTTGCTTTATGGCAACTGTATGGTACATTTTTGTACATGTTCTGTGAAATTTTTAAAAGATTGTGAATTCTCGAATTTTGGGGTGCAGAATTCCTATTGTATAAATGTAAATGTATGTTGTTATATTTAGATATTACCATCTATTTTTGGTTCCTTGAAATGTCAATTACTGACAGAAATGTTAGAAATAATACAACTGTACATGTATCTACTTCTCCTTGTAGTTCAAATTATTTTAGTAATTATTTCATTTTAGAATTGTTATTAATCTAAAATAAATATTTTAAAATTATTTTATTTTGTAGGCATCCTCTTTATTCATAGTCACACTTTTTGTTTGAATTCTATTGCATGGAATATTAACATTTATTCCAGCTTTCTTTTGTTAATATTCTATCCATATTTCTCCCATATTTCTGCTTTTAAACTTTCTGTATTAGAAGATGCCTTATGATGCCACTCAAAGAAGGAATGATACATTTTTTAATGGTAAAATAGGCTTGATCAAAAAATTTTTTAAAATATTTATTCTTGAGTTTTAGGTGGACACACAATATCTTTATTTTACATTTATGTGGTGCTAAGGATAGAACCCAGTGCTTTGTGCATGCTAGGCGAGCATTCTACCACTGAGCCACAACCCCAGCCCCAGAATAAAATTTGAAATTTATCAAGGTATGCCATTAAAAAAAAGAAGGGGAAAAAAAGACAGGACACAGAGTGGGAGTAGATATTCATGAAACACATATCTTCTAAATGACTTATACCCAGGATATATAATAAACTTTTTCAACTCAACCATAAGAAAGCCAATTAAAAGAACTGGCAAAAAATAGGCAAGAAGGAGTCATAGTGAGATATCATTAGACACTGACTAGAATGGCCAAAAGGGTTGGTGAGAGTGAAGTGAAACCAGAATACTTATCTGTTGCTGGCATGCTGTGACCTGTGTGGTGGTTAATTCAGAAACTGGACAAGAGGCAATGGGAGATCAGAAAAGACAGACAGACACACAGGAGAGAAAAAGCTGGGACTAGGTGGGACATTACACCCTGATGGCTGTATAATGAACCAGAGCTAGCTCAGCATGTTTATAATATAGATTTTAATATCAAAAGGATTCTCGGTGAGAAAGTTTCTTCACAAAGAGCCACAGTCAAAGACTAGAGGTCCCAAATTATAATTATCAGCTTGTGCTCATAATTCTCTACCTCTGGAAGCATGTGTCTGAACTCAGGTTAAGATTGATAGCTCTATGGCAGGCACAGAACCTCCTTTTGAGCAGGCCATCACCATAGCAACTGGGCACTCTCAACTGGCATCTTTGTACCAAGAGTTCCCATCACAAGTGTGTTCTTATCAAGGCCATAATTCAAATCACTGCTTCCAACACTGGCAAATATATAACATAATAGAGATACACTACACACTGCTCTTTATAAAATTTAACATATATTTACCAAACGATCCAGCTTTCTACCAAGAGAAATGGAAAAATGTTCACACGAAGATCTGTATGTGAATAGTCATAGAGACACACTACTCAACAGCTGGTGGCAATCCAGCTATCAACTAGTGAATGAGTAAAGAAAATGTGGTATATGCATGAAATGGAATGCTTCCCAGAGATGAAAAGGAATAAAATACTGATACATATGTGGAATAATTTCAAAACCTTTATGCTAAGTGAAAGAAGCCAGATATCAATATCACAATAGACACTTCAGAAATACAGAGGATAATTAGAAATTATTTTGAAAACTGTACTCCAATAAAATAGAAGATATTGAAGGCATTGACAAATTTCTTAAGTCATATGATTTGCCCAAATAGAATCAGGATGATATACACAATTTAAACAGACCAACATCAAGTGATGAAATAGAAGACACCACCAGAAGCCTACCAACCAAGAAAAGCCCAGGACCAGATGGATACACAGTCGAGTTCTACAAGACCTTTAAGAAGAACTAATATCAATACTCTTCAATTTATTTCAGGAAATAGAAAAAGAGGGAGCACTTCCATACTCATTCTATGAGGCCAATATTACCCTGATTCCAAAACCAGGCAAAGACACTCAAAGAAAGAAAACTTCAGACCAAAATCTCTAATGAACATAGATGCAAAAATTCTCAATAAAATTTTGGCAATTGAATACAGAAACATATCAAAAAGATCATGCACCATGATCAAGTGGGATTTATCCAAGGATTCAAGGCTTGTTCAACATACAGAAATCAATAAATGTAATTTATCACATCAATATACTCAAAGATAAGAATCATATGATTGATTATCTTAATAGATGCAGAAAAGGCATTTGACAAAATACAGCATTCCTTCATGTTCAAAACACTAGAAAAATTATGGATAACAGGAACATATATCAAAGGCTATCTATGCTAAGCCCCAGGCAAAAACATCATTCTAAATGGAGAAAAATTGAAAGCATTCCCTCTAAAAACTGGAACAAGACAGGGATGCCCTCTTTCACCACTTCTATTTAATATAGTTCTTGAAACACTAGCCAGAGCAATTAGATGAAAGAAATTAAAGGGATACACATAGGAAAAGAAGAACTCAAATTGGCACTATTTGCTGAGGATATGATTCTATACCTAGAAGATCTTAAAATTCTACCAGAAAACTTCTAGAACTAATAAATGAATTCAGTAGAAGGATATAAAATCAACACCCATAAATCAAAGGTATTTCTGTATATCAGTGACAAGTCCTCAGAAAGGGAAACAAGGAAAACTACCCCATTTACAATAGCCTCAAAAAAACAAAAACAAACAAACAAACAAACAAAAAAAACAATAGCCTCAAAAAAACAAAAACAAACAAACAAACAAACCTTTGGAATCAACTTAATGAAAGAGGTGAAAGATCTATATAACGAAAATTGCAGAACCCTAAAGAAAGAAGTCAAAGAAGACCTTAGAAAATGGAAAGACACACCTTGTTCTTGGATAGGCAGAATTAATATTATCAAAATGACCATACTTCCAGAAGCACTATAAAGATTTAATGCAATTCACATCAAAATTCCAATGACATTTCTCATAGAAATAGAAAAAGTAGTCATGAAATTCATCTGGGAAAATAAGAGACCCAGAATTGCTAAAGCAATCCTTAGCAGGAAGATTGAAGCAGGTGGCATCACTATACCAGACCTTAAACTATACTACAGAGCAATAGTAACAAAAACAGCATGGTATTAGCACCAAAACAGACTGGTAGACCAATGGTACAGAATAGAGGACATAGAGACTAATCCACAAAACTACAATTATCTTATATTAGACAAAGGGGCCAAAAACATGCATTGGAGAAAAGATAGCCTCTTCAACAAATGGTGCTGGGAAGACTGGAAATCTATATGCAACAAAATGAAATTAAACCCCTATCTCTCACCTTGCACAAAACTAAACTCAAAATGGATCAAGGACCTAGGAATTAAACCATAGACATTGAGTCTAATAGAAGAAAAAATAGGTCCTAATCTTCATCATGTTGGATTAGGCCCCAACTTCCTTAATAAGACTCCTATAGTGCAAGAATTAAGATCAGGAATTAATGGGATGGATTCAAACTAAACAGTTTTTTTTTTTTTTTTTCTCAGCGAAAGAAACAAACTGTGAGGTGAACAGAGAGCCTGCATCTTGGGAGCAAATTTTTACTCCTCACACATCAGATAGAGACTAATTTCTAGGGCATATAAAGAACTCAAAAATTTAAACATCAAAAAAAAAAAAAACCAACCAAAACACAATCAATAAATTGGCCAAGGACCTCAGCAGACACTTCTCAGAAGAAGATATACAATCAATGAATAAATATATTAAAAAAATGTTCATCATCTCTAGCAATTAGAGAAATGCAAATCCAAACTACTCTAGATTTCATTTCACTCCAGTCAGAATGGCAGCTATTATGAAGACAAACAACAATAAGTGTTGGTGAGGATGTGGGGGAAAAGGTACACTCATACATTGCTCGTGGGCCTGCAAATTGATGCAGCCAATATGGAAAGTAGTATGGAGATTCCTTGGAAAACTGCGAATGGAAACACCATTTGAAGCAGCTCTCTCTCTCCTCGGTCTATACCCATAGGACTTAAAAACAGCATACTATAGGGACACAGCCATATCAATGTTTATAGCAGCACAATTCACAATAGCTAAACTGTGGAACCAAACTAGATGCCCTTCAGTAGATAAATGGATTAAAAAAAGTGGCATATATGCACAATGGAATTTTACTCAGCAATAAAAGATAATAAAATCATGGCATTTGCAAGTAAATGGATGGCGCTGGAGAAGATAATGCCAAGTGAAGTTAGCCAATCCCCCAAAACCAAATGCCAAATGTTTTCTCTGATATAAGGAGACGGATTCATAGTGTGGTAGGGACGGGGAGCATGGGAGGAATAGATGAACTCTAGATAGGGCAAAGGGGTGGAAGGGGAAGGGAGGGGGCAGGGAATTAGAAATGATGGTGGAATATGATGAACATCATTATCCAAAGTACAAGTATGAAGACACGAATTGGTGTGAATATACTTTATATACAACCAGAGATGAAAAAATGTGTTTTATATATGTAATATGCATTGTAATGCATTCCACTGTCATATATAAATAAATCAATAAAAAAAGAAAAAAAGAAGCCAGATACCTATGACTATCTATTATATGATTTCATTTATATGAATTGTCCAGAAAAGACAAAACTGTAGCTGGATCATTGTTTGTTAAGAGATGGAGACGTGAATGGGGATTGATTACAAATGGGTACAAAGGAATTTTTTGGAGTGATGAATGTATTCCAATACTGGATTATGGTGATGTTTGGATGACTCTATAAATTTACTAAAACTCCTTCAACTGTATTCTTAAAGTGGGTGAATTAATGATGTGTAAATTGGACATCAATAAAGCTATTAAGGATTTAAAACTATGTTCAGATAATCTTGGTTTTATTTAACTGGAACATTTAGTCCATTTACTTATTTTGTAATTTTCAGATGTATTTGTCTACCATTTTATATGGTGCTTTCTATATGTCCTTTTAAATATTTCTTTTCCTCTCCTTTCCTTCCCTTGGATGATGATGATGATGATGATGATGATGATTGGATTCTACTTTTCTCCTCCTTTTAACTTGGAAGTGATATGCTCTCCTGTAGTTCTCAAATGGTTACCTGAGAAATTTCAACTTGTGGTCTGGGGCTGTGGCTCAGTGGCAGAGGACTTGCCAGCATGTGTGAGGCACTGGGTTCGATCCTTAGCACTACATACAAAAATAAATAAAATAAAGGCATGCTATCCATCTACAACTACAAAAAAAAAATTAAAAAAAGAAATTTCAACATGCACACTTATCAACCAATAGTCAGAGTTAAGAGCTTTGCCTTTTTTTTTTTGTAAATAACACCAGAAATTTAGCACACGTTATGTATGATTGCTAATGTTGCATTATTTTAGTTCCATGTGACAATGAACTGTATGAAATAACAATGATTATTTCATATATAATGTATGATATATAATTTAATATATAATGTATGAAATAATATTATATATATTATATCATACATTATATATTACATTATATATATATATATATATATATATATATATATTAACTGTATGAAATAACACAACTTTTATTTTATACAGTTAATATATAATTACCTGCACATCTGACTGCTCCCCTTTTTATTCTTTCTTGCTTCTCTGACTTATTCGTGACATTTTTCTCAAAAACTTTTTGTACTAAAAGGTGGTATGTATTGTAAAGTATATTGTAAAGGTTAAAACCATGATTCTCCAGACTTTTCCAGACTGCTGGAAACAGAAGCCAAGGGCTACTTGGTAACACTCTCAGAGATACATCAAGCAGAGGCAGGATCAAACCAATTGATCCCACAAAACACCCCTTATGCTGTGGAGGGACAGGCAATACCCATTGTCAGAGAAATCTGTGGTGGCACAATAGACCATAGCCCCACCCCTGTGGCGCAAACAGCATACAGGGTCATCTTTCTCTAAAGCCTGAAGGTTCATTAAGTTCATAAATAATTACTCTGAAAAGATTACAAGCAAATCACAGGTAACTTAATATTCACCTTTTTTTTTTGGAATGCTTATAAAATCATTTTTTCTTGAATATTTATTGTCTTAATTAAGGCAATTTGGATAGTCCTACAAAATTTATAGCACAAGACTCCTTGCAAATATACAAGGTGGACTCTTTCCACCTTGCTGCGGAGAAGTGCACCACCATGAATTCAGAAAACCGGGCGAGGGGCGATGGGGGGATTAATTCTAAAAGACAAACAGACACACATAGAGGGAAAGCTGAGATCAGGTGGGACGTTACACCCTGATGGAGATGTAGTGACACAGAGCTAGCTTGGCATGTTTATTATATAGGTTTTAACATCAAAAGGGCTTTCTCTGAGAAAGTTTCTTGAAAGCGCACAGGTCCAAGGTCAAAGTTCTGGGAAGCCAATTATTCTGATCTTTTTTGCGCTAATAATTCTCTACCCCCAGCAGCTGGGGTCCGAATTCAGGGTCAAGACTGAGTCCAGTGGCAAGCACCGAACCTCCTTTGAACAGGGCATCACCATAGCAACGGGGCCGTCTCACCTTTGCACCAAGAAATCCCAGCGGAGGCTCTCCTGAACCCGGAAAATAAGAGACCTTAATTCAAAGCACGGGCTTCTGACACTTTGCTTTGTACCTGGGCAGACTGGCCAGCAGACCCCGGTTTATAAAGCAAATCACTGACACCCCCACCCTGTGCAAAGTTATTTAGATGCTGATGAGCCTTGGGGGACATTGTGAGGCACACTGATTACATGCTGGATAATTTGGAAGCCTCTGGAGGAGAGGGTCCTTTCAGAAGTGTGGTGAGCACAGAACAGACTTCTAGGTCTTCCAGCTTTTCTACTGACTTTATGAGACTTTCCGCTGTGTGGCAGGACAGCGTCTTGGAGGCATTGTCTCTGAACTTTTCCTGTAGGTCCTCCTGGCTCAGTGGTTTCCTCCAGTGCCCATAGAAGGTATCTGAGCGCTCGGTGAAGGTGGCTCCGCCCTGGAGGGTGACGCTCATCTCACAGTACAGTGTGTTGAAGCTTGGCAGGTTGTCCGAAGGGTGCTCCAGCTCCACTTTCCTGAGCAACTCTCTGACCTGCGGCCTATTGATCTGCTGTATTTGGAACGAAGGGACAGTAATGCCACCATCCAGCAGCATGGCACAGGCCACATACTGGAAGGAATGACGGGCTTCGTGCTCCGTGTCTGGGAAGGGCCTGTTTACGTAAGGGACGTCTGGAATCCTGAGCACAATCCTCTCGATGTGGTCAGCAGGAAGCAGGTCTCTATCCGAACGCACAAGGTGCTTTCTCACAGATGCGGCTGCATCTGCCACCCAGTGGGTAGCCAAGTGTGCAGGGAAACGCTTGAAGGCCACGTCCTGCTGGTCCAGCAGCCAAGCATGAGAATCCAGACTTGGAAGGACTTTGGGGGAATAGTTGGTATAGAAGGCGCCAAACCCTGTCTCCAAATCCAAGATCTGCTTGTTTCCTTGGAGACCCATCATTGCCAGAAAAGAGGCTTCTATTCCGTGTCTGGCAGCGTTGCCCATATGAAGGGGCTTGGTCTGAGTGGCAGCATTTGCCATAGGTGCCCCAGCATAAGAAACAGCAATAGCCAGGGCCTCTCGGCACTCTGTCAGGCTGAGCCCTAAAAACTTGGATGCAGCAGCAGCACTACCCAAAGTTCCCACCAGGGAGGGGGGATGAAATCTGAAAAGCAAAACAGAATTGGAGGTTTGAAAACTTCATCCACCAGGGGGCAGTATTTCATAGTGTTCAAGAGCAATAATTGAGTCATACTGCCCCAGTTCAAATCTCTGCTCTTCCACTTAATAGCTGTGTGATCTTAGTAAAACTATTCAGTTTCTCGGAGATAAAAATAGTGTCTATGCATAAGGCTTGGGAGCTTTTAATGAATTCACATGTTTAGAACACTAACTTCAGGAAAGTTCTTTATAAATGGTACTATTATTTCCAGAAAGGCAGAAGTTGCTGATTGCTGAAATAACTTTAAGAATTGAGGGCCTTGTAGAAACTGAAAGTTCACTACCTGGTATTCCAATGTATTCCTCTCCTAGCAGGATGGAGCTCATGGCAAAATAAATGTTATTGAACTATATGATTAGCCAATATTTGGCCATTTTTGATCTATGGGGTGAACAGTCAAGGTTAGGATATTCTGAATGCTGTAATTAGTCTGAAGGATCCTTTGAATATCAGAGTAGATTGTGCTCTGAGGATGAGATCAGGAATACTCAAAGTATCATGAATGCTACAATTAGTCACCTTGGGATGAGAGGCCCCAATTTATTTCATGGACTGGATTGTTTCATAGGCTTTTTAAATCCAAAGGAAGTTTTCACTAGCACTTCTGAAACCACACTCCTGTATATTGACATGGGGTTTGGTAAGTGACTGGAATTGCCTTATCCACCAGCATTGATGTTAACGTCTTCAGCTGAGCTAGCTTCTAAGCCAGAAAGCTCTACAGATATAACCTGGCAGGTGAAGCAGATGTGGCTGCTTGCCCATGGGGCAAATTCTCTCCATACCTCTTTGGTATGTCACTGGCTTCCTTCGAGAAATGCATTAATCGGCCTTGAACTTCAATACCAACGTTGAAAGCCAGCAGCAGGTCGAGGCCAGAAAACTTTGATCTTTGAGGCAGGGCTTCTGATAAAGCTGTGAGGACAGGAAGAACAGCCCCCGAAGGGTGGGTGGCAGGGTGCCATGTGTCATCAAAATCCATTGAGTGAATCTGCATAAATAGACAAACAAAACCCTCAAATTTTCCCTGAATTTGTCATCTTTGGGATCAGCAAAGGGTTAATTTAGCAATAACCTTGTTTGCTATAAGATTTTTTTTCAGTCTGATTCCCTGAAATTAAAACCTGAGATTTAGCTGTGATTCTTTTTTCTTCTTCTTCTTTTTTAAATACTTATTTATTTATTTTAGTTGTAGTTGAACATAACATCTTTATTTTATTGATGTGGTACTGAGGATGGAACCCAGGGCCTCACACATTTGAGCGGTCTACTGCTGAGCCACAACGCCAGCCTGTAACTGTGATTCTTAATCACATTTCTGGGCCCTGGTTCTTGTTCCTCTGCCCAGAGGAGAGCAGGACCTTGGAGAGGAGCTTGTGAGCCCCAGGATCTTGCCTCTTGCTAGAGCTACTGGAAAGATTCATATTTCCTTTAAAAGCAGATCTTGTCTTTTCTGTGTCCCCCACCCTTTAAACAATTGACACTAAAAGTTTACTATCATCCATTTCATATCAGGCCATATGTTTCGGTATCTCTTTGTTGTGAAATAATTTCAAATTTTCAGAGAAGTTGTAAGAACAGCACACTCAAACCTAAGTCATTATTTTGCTGTAGGGTTTTCTTCTTCTTCACTCCACCCATTGTTTTTTTCTCCCATATATGAAATAATAATAACCAGTAGTTGATTTTTAAATAGATTTTACATCCATTTGATGTGACTGGTGTGTTTCCTACTGTCAGTTGGGCATTTATTCCTGAACATGTCATTGGGTCTGACTGTTGTATTCTGGATTACTGTCACCATAAATCACAAATACATCTTGGAAATCCCAATATGTTCATGTCTAAATTACATCTTGTAGACTTTTCCTGACACACAGAAAAAAAACCACAAAAATCATGTGTCAGATGAGAAGTGCTGATTTTTTCATTCAGAAAATATAAACACCATATGAACATTTTTTCTTTCTTAATAAATACCTGTTGAATGAATGAAAATAGCATTGCTAGATGGAAACTTTTGTTCACAATGGAAAGAATTGAGAAGAAAATATGTTGGGTTTTATAATTTTTTGCTATACATATCCAAGGTTTAGAGTTGGAATACCTTGAAGGTCTTTTTAAATCTAAATCCTTTCATTTTCTCTACTTCACAATTTTTTTGAAAAGCATACATTTATTGTAAAAATGTGAAAACTGAAATAACTGCCTAGGAGAGAAAGGGCAGGCCACTTCATCTCTCTGAACTTCAATGAGCTCATATGTAAAATAAGAAAGATAATTTCTAAGATATTTTCTGGCTCTAAAATTATGATGATAGTCTAGTATTTGAAAAGACACTGTAAACATCCTTACAGCGACACTGTTAACAAAGGCAGCATATGTGGGTGGGAGCCTGAAGTCTGGCTGACCCCAAACAGTGCTGGAGATATTGGAACTGTAGATCTGGAATAGAAGAACATAGGTCAGTGACACAGATAGAGCACGACACACCAAGTCAGCATTTCAAGAGGGACTCTTTGTGGAGACATTTTGTTCATAGTCCTTAAATGAACCCAGTGATAGAAGTTTTTAGTCATTGGAATTCTCTCTACCTTGTAGAAGAATGTGGAACCTTACCCAAAGAAGGGAGAGATGGTATTGCTCAATCCAAGATTGTGATCTGGAAGTGCTTCAGGAAAGTGAGGCTAAATTTATCGTTGTTTATTCTTGGGGTAAATACTGGGGATTAACCATCCATGCCAAGTGCATCCTGTGGAGAGTGGCTGCTACATCTGTACATACATGTTCACTCTGCTCAGAGTCCTTGACCAGCCTTCCCACAGACAATCTTAAAGTCTTTGCAAGAATGAATGCTCTGTGGTAGGTGCCTTTGCTTCTATGATTTTTGGGTTAAAACGTACTTTTGGTTGTAATAATAATCTATGAGAAATTACTGGTGAATAGTTTTTCAACAGTAACATAGCAAAAGATATGAATGAATTTTTAAAATCAGATAATGAAATAGAATCACAAAACAGTATAGAACAATGATATATACATTGAGCATTATCTATAAAACTAAGTATAGGGGACTGGGACTATAGCTCAGTGGTATAGTGCTTGCCTAGCATGCATGAGGTGCAGGGTTCAGTATTGGGGAGTACTGCAAAACAACAAAACAAACATCACCACCACCAACAAAAACCAAGTATAGAATAAACAGAACACATGCACACATCTCTCAGTCTATCCCAGAGCAGGCATGCACACATATTTGATTGTAGTTTAAACTTTGAGTCTCTTACTTTACTGTATTGGCTGGCTTTGTGAAACACTTCTGTGCTGGTTCCCAGGAACCCAACACCCAGAGTATCCAGAATCATCCTCTTGCTCCTCTGAATAACTCCATCAGTCAGGTGTCCCACTTTTAAGCCGTGGATCAAGGTGGCAAAGCTTTCTGTGACAGACTTCATATAGGGAAGAGGGTTAGAACAGAGCTACACTCCACTTTGTATTTGCATACTTTTTTTCTACAGGAGACCTTAAGGGAAAGAGTTTTGCTCCACTAGAGAAAACCCAGTTGATAAAATTTAGTTCTATTTCTAAAAAAATGATGTGTACCAAGCACTTCTGCATGAGGCCCAGGGATGTGGAGATGCACAGCCAGGTTCTGTCCTAAGTGGAGATTAGTGAGCAGATGATGACAACAGAGCATGGTGGGCGATGGTGGAAGGAAGCACAGAGGGTCTGAGGGGGAGGATGGGGGGACTTCTCACCCATGAAATGAGAATGGCTGGAGGTGGACTGCATGCAGACAGCTAAGAGCTGCCATTATTAGAGGCAGGCCAGGTGCCGTGCAGAGTATTTCAGACACATTATCCATTTAATACCCAAAAGTGTCTAGGTTGGTGCTTGACCCAGAAGTGTTCCAGAAAAGTGCTGCACTTAGCAGATGAGGAGACTGAGACCTACAGAGTGTAAGTCACTATTTTTCACAGCTCCTAAGTTGTGGAATCTGGATATAAACCCCTGTAGGTCTAACTCCAAAATCAGGGCATTTAGCTAGTAAGCCCACATTTCCTTAGATGTTGTTTGAGGAACATGGACATCAGGACCACCTGGGATTCCTTTTCGAAAACCAACATTTCTGGTCCCCCCAGACCACCACAATTAGACTCTCTCCAGAACCAGATCCTTTGGAAGCCTAGCATGGGGATTCACTTTTCTGTCAGATCTCTATGTGTTTTTTTTTTTTTTTGTCTGTGTGTGTGTGTGGAGCTGGGTATCAAATTAAGGGCCTCATGTACTGCTGAGCTACACCCCCAGCCTTCTAGAAGATTCCTAAGTGCTCTAGTGCTGTTATGTTCAAAATGGTACTATGCAATTTGGCATTTAAAATATGGCTAGTCCAAACCAGGATGTGTCATAAGAATAAAATGAACACTGGATTTTGAAGACTTAGAAGAAAAAAAAGAATATAAAGTATTTCAATAATTTAAAACCATAGATTACATGCTGAATCAATGTTTGACATTAATATCAACATTTCTATATTATGATAATATAGATGCATCAATTTCTTGTTACTTTAAAAAATATGGCTACTGGAAAAGTTGACATGATACAGTGAGCTGGAGAACCACTGTCTGCTCTTTCTTGTTGGTAGGGACTACCTGGAGGCTGCTGGAGATGTGGGTGGAGGCTAAAGGAAGGGGTAGCAGTACAGGCCAGGGCTTGGAGGGGGTGGTGGCAGCATGAATTTGATACACTTTCATTGCAGAGCTGCATGTAGAGTTGATGCAATGGGAAACCATAGTCCTTCTATAAGAAGGTGGAGATTTGATCAGCACTGTGTTTGGAAAGATCTCTTTGGTAATCATGTAGACAATGGATTGGAGTTGGCTAGACAAGAGCAGTTAAGAGGCTGCTGAAGTAGCCCACATTATGGGTGGGGGAATGACAGTGTCACTTGCCAAAAGAGAAGATATTAGAGGAGGAGCAGGCTCTGTGATGATGGGATCCTGCAAACTTGCTGACTCTGAAGTGCCTTGTGTTGATCCCAGTGGGAAGGAACATTCTGCTGCTACCCACAAACCAGACAATGAAAACTTGCAGTATAGGATGATTTGCATTTCATAAGCAGTAGTGAAGTACTTTGTAATTCCTTTAAATATCAATGTCTTCAATGCACAGATGATTCTTTTGTTGTCAACATGTCTTCACAAGACAGCATCTATTATGTATAGTTAAAAACCTCCAATCTTAGGAGGCATTTCATTATATGCCTGCTACTTAGTGCCACTTGGTGAATGATAAGTGGTTTCTCTTCCCTGTCTAAAGACTGCATTTAAAAAAAAAGATTTAAAAAAGAAAAAGACTGCATCATTGCACAACTTCTTTTGTCTCTGAGCATCTGATACCTCATTTACCAATGTTAGTTGCAGGCTGAGGGGTTAATAGAACAGGGGTTCTTAGTGCCCTAGCACTGAACTCAATGTGAGAGATTCCCAGACACCTTAAAGCTACCATTTGTAGATGAGGTATCTGATGTAATGATGTGATCATTAGAGCAGGGATGGGAAGCCCCTTATCATTTAGCAAGTGACACTGAGTGCCAGGCACATAATGAAATGCCTTGAACCACTGAAGGTTTTTAACTGTGTGTAATAAATGTTCTCTTGAAAAGACATGTAGACAACAAAAGAATCATCTATGCATTGAAAAACTTGATATGTATTCAAAAGTCAGCCCTTTAGGGTTGGATCTGAATCTGGGTTGCTTTCTGGGGACAGGTGTATGCCTGGGGAGCAAGCAGGGGTGCTAACATGGTGTCCAGGAGGTGGGTGGAACATCAACCTACAAGAGGCCCTAAGGTGGGGCCCATGGGACCCCCTGACAAGTCCTGAACACCTGTCCCTCTCACCCACAATAAGCCAAAGAACAAAGGGCCCCTCTCTGGCCCTGGGGGGAGGGGAGCATGAGGGAAATTAACACACAGCTGCTCAGCTGTCTGAGTCTTGTCTAAAATGTCTTTCTGATTTGTTTGACTTTCTCATGATCTTCACATCCCTTTTTAGCAAAATACTGTGACTTATGTATAAATTAAGGCACATTATGCAGTCATTTAATAATTAAATTCTCAGATTCTTGTGAACTCACTGTACTAAACTCTCTAGAATGCCAAACCACACATGATGTTTTTTTGCTTCAAAATACATTATCAAGGGACTAATGGGTGGGGACTGTGACAGCAAGCAGATAATTAGAAATGCAACCTGGCTATGTCACAAAGTCTCATAGAACTAAGAGGTTAAAATTCAGTGAGTTTACAATGATCCATTTTCTTCCTAATATGATACATCACAATCATGTCTCTCATTTGTAAAATGCCGATGAGAGCTAACCCATAGTTAATTAGGGAGCCCAGAGGCTATGAGGACAGTTAAAATGCCATTTTTTAAAAGCAGAGCAGGCATCTCTTAATTTGAGAAGGCAAGTGAGGAGATTGAGAAAGGAAGGAGTAAGCTAGAAAGGGGATTTAAGCAAGCCACAAAAAAATGCCACAATACCTTGAGCATCATGCTGTTCTAGAGGAAGTTTGGTGCAGAAGTGAGTTGGAGGAGTGGTTTGTTGACTCTGTGGCTGCCTTTATATCCTTCACTCCTCTCAAGCTCTTTTGCTTTGTTCTAACTCTGGAGTTTCTATTATTTCAACACCTCTCCACTAACTGTACTTCCTCTACAGTAAATTCTGGCACTCACCCGGTAGCTGAAGGATTAAATGAAATTAGGGGGCACAGTAGCCATAACTGTATGGCTACTCACAGGCCACAGAAAAGTCAATTTATGGTAAAATTAGGATTGCCTCCTGTGCCTAGATGTCATACATTAATATGAGAAAAAAAATACTTACACTTTTAACTAGGTGTTTCACTAAAAAAATATGTCCTATGGAAATAAGCACGGAAAGATGGAAAGATTGAAAGAAACACTCACATATACTCTAAATAAAGTTGGACACTTGTTTGTGGCTCAGCTACCTCTCTTTGTGTGTTTCTGTTTTCCTAGTCCTCTGCCTGGCTTCTGGGACATCCTGGCTGCTTGTTCCCCTCCCTGCCATTGCCTGAGTCTACTTTGACACAGCTCGGCCTGGCCTCTTTGCTTATAATCACTCACTGTGGTCTGGCTTGCCTGGACCTGACAGTGCTCACCTGGGCATTTGCCACCTCCTTTGGGCTGCCTAGTCCTGGCCAATTTGTTTGTACATAGAGTAGGCACAAAAAAACAAGTTATCTAAAGTCTGAGTCTGTTGTTCTAGATGGAGTGGAGGAATTTATCTTTGGGGAAGACTGTATTTCAGGTTTGGAGGAAATTTCCAAAAACTTTATGGTTTATCTCAGGCCTAGAGTAGAAGGGAGAGTTTGGGGACAAAGAGAAGCCTTCGTTTGCAGGAACACTTTGAATTTTTTAGGTTTCACTTCGTTTTCCCCTATAGGGATACATGCATTTGGAACTCTAAATCAAACACGGTTTGTGCTAGCTGCTTGAAACTACATATCTACATAAAAATACAAAAGGCTGTTTTTCTTGTGGACAGGCAGTGTTTCTGGGAGATGAGGGTAAGTAAGTAGTCTTTCTTCTCTTGGATAGAGTCTATGGAGAAAGAATGCTGGGACTCAGGATACAGGGCCAAGGGTAGGGCCAGTGGGAGCTCTCTTGGCTTGGTGGGGGTGTTACTAAGGCTATCAGCTAGGAGCTGTGGAGGGAAATGGCCAATAGGAAACTCAGTGTGAAAGGACAGGGGCAGAGAGATTTAGGGAGAAATGAGACCAAATGTGTAATTTGAAGTTTTTTTTTTTTTTTTTTTTTTTTCTCAACATAATTCTCTAATGTTATCTTTATTTTCTTAGGCAAGTTTTTTTTTTAATTTTTATTTTTTTAATATGCCGCACAAACTAGAGTTAGCCGTGTTGTGGGAGATGAAGGCAGAGGAGGCTGATTGTGCATGGAGTCAAAAGAGCTTGGAGAGAGAAGGTCAGGGTTTGAGTCACTGGGAGAAATGACCAACAGCAACCACTGCTTCAAACCCATCACGGCTTGGAGTAGGCTTCCCAAACATGGTCCAGATCAGAGAAACCCAGACAGGTTCAATATTGGCACAGGTGGTGCTTATGTGTATAGGGATTTCATCTCAATATTTATTTTATGTCAGTAGACTCCAAATCCAGCTTCCATGGAAGAGTAGATTCTTGAGTCTAAAGAACAAGATGGGTGTTTTGGAGCCATCGAGTAAGAATGCTCCATTGTTTAGCTTTTCTGTAACTCAGGTTTTGCCACGATTGAATTCAGAAAAAGTGTTAGCTTAATTACTTGATAGTTTAATAGTAAATAAAAAAATATTTACTGTGACTTTCATGGAACTGTGATTAATTAAAAAAACTAGGTCCCTCTGTAATTAGAATTACTTTATAACTGTCTAGGAGCTTAAATGATAAATGATATGTTGATTGTCACTCTCCAGTGAAGAACAATTGATAACATTGATGAAAGAAATTGAAGAGGACATTAAAAAAATGGAAAGATACCCTGTGTATGTGGATCAGAAGACTCAACATTGTTAAAATATCATTCAAAGTGATCCCTATCAAAATACCAATGACATTCATCAAAGAACCAGAAAGAACAATCCTCAAATTTATACAGAAAAAAAAATCTCTGAAAGAGCTAAAGCCATCTTGAGCAAAAAGAAAAAGAGGAGGCATTACATTTCTTGATTTAGAAATACACTACAAAGCTGTAGGAATCAAAACAGCATGGTCGTGGCATGAATACAGATACACAGACCAACGGAACAGAGCAGAGACCCGTAGAGTAAGCCCATGAATCTATAGCAAACTGATTTTCAACACAGGTGCTAAGAACATACACTGGAAAAAATAGCAGTATTTTCAGTAAATAGTGCTGGAAAAATTGGATGTCCATATGCAAAAAAATGCAACTAGACCCTTATTTCTTATCAATTACAAAGATCAAATGAAAATGGATTGAAGATTTTAAAATGAGAAATGAAACTGATAGCATAAATCATAAGGGAAATGCTAAAGAGCAGTGGAATGGGCAAGGATTTTTTTTTTTGATAATACCAAAAGCATAGGAAAAATAAGCAAAAGTATACAAATGAGATCATATCAAACCAAAAAGCTTTTGCCCAGCAAAGGAAACAAGCAACAGAATGAAGAGACTACCTACAAGGTAGAAGAAAATATTTGCTTACTACACATCTGACAAGGAATTGAGATCTAGAATACAAAAGGAACTCCAAAACCAAGAGCAAAATAAACAATTAAACAATCCACTTAGAAAATAGGCAATAAAACTATATAGCCATTTCTCAGAAGATTTATAGTATGAATGTATAACAATGAATCCCACCATTATGTACAACTATAATCCACCAATAAAAATATGGGATAAAAGACATACAAATGACCAACAGGTATACGAAAAAGTGCTCAACATCATTAATCACCGGGAATATGCAAATCAAAATGAGTACAAGATGTCACCTCACCCCAATAAGAATGGCCATTTTCAAAGAGACTGAAGATAAAGAGCATTGGGAAGGATGTGAAGAAAAACGGAACCCTTTAAGCTGTTGGTGGGGATGTAAATTTATGCATTATGGAAAACAGTATGGATGTTGCTCATAGAATTAGAAGCAGAATTACCTTAAGATCCAGCAATCTCACTACCTAGTATTTATCCAAAGGAAATGAAGTCAATGTGTCAGAGAGATGTCTTCACTCCCATGTGTTGGATTGCAGCACTACTAACGATGGCCAAGAAAGGGAAACAACCTGAGTGTCCATGACCTGGTGAATGGATAAGGGAACTGTGAGGCATATACACAAGGAAAGACTACTTGGCCCTAAAAAAGAATGAAGTCCTGCCATTTGTGACAGCCTGAATGGAACTGGAGATGGGCCAGCACTGAAGGGCAAGTACTGTGGGACCTCCCTCATATGTGGAATATAAAAATAGTTGGTTTCAAAGAAATTCATAGTAGAATGGCTGCCAGAGAGGAGGGCAGAGGAGGGGAGGGGAGGGAAGAGGGAAAGATGGGGAAAGTTTGATCAACGAGTACCATGTTATGGTTAGATGGGAAGATATTCTGGTGTGCCTCTGTAGGGAGCAGGGTGGCTACAGGTAACAATAATATTCTGCGCGTGGCAAAAAGCCAGAAGAAAGGATTTTGAAAGTATTTACATAAAGAAATGAGAAATGTTTGGAGAGATAGGTATGTTTATCCTGATTTAAACATTTTATACACACACACCCACACACACAGAGCAAAACATTTTACCCCATGTATGATTTTTATGTACCAGTTAAAAATAACTAAAAATTAAAAAAAATGATGGCTTCCTGTTGCTTTTTGTTTCTAGATCTAAGTAGAAACCAGAGCTATTTTTTTAAGGGAAAATCTCTCTGGTCACTGACCTGGAGGAAGCCATGCTCTGAGCAGCCCTCTGGAGATGCCCACATGGGAAGAGAAGAAGATGAAGCCTCAGGTTGAGGGCCAGCTTGGGCACTGATCTTTGTGTAGGAAGTCATGTCTTGGGAGACTGCAGCCTGCAGTTTGACTACAACACCTCATGTGAGACCTCAGCCCAGAACTTCTCAGTGAAGCTGCTCCAAGTTTCCTGACTCTTTTGAGATAACAAAGGTTAGTTGCTTTAAATGGAGAAGTTTGGGGATAACTAATCAACACAGTGTATTAGGATTCTCCAGAGGAACAAAATCAGATGCATGTGTGTGCTTGTGCATGTGTGTGCTTGTGTGCACAACTGTACATACAGGTGAGTTGCAGTGTGAGAAAGAGGGAGAAGGAAATAATTTTATTATAGAGAATAGGCCCTTGAGGCTGTGGAGGCTGACAAGTATCAAGATCTGCAATTGATAAGCTGGAGACCCAGAGAGATGTTGTGGTCCAAATCCAAAAGGCCCGTGTATGTGGGAAGACAATGATGTAGTTCCAGTCCAAATGCCAGTGAGCTCCACACCCAGGAAGAACTGATGTTTCAGTTTGAGTCTGAAGGCAAGAGAAATCCTTTGTGCTGAGTCAGAGGCAGTGTGCGGAAGGAATTCCCTTTTTATTTTTAGTAAAACCTTCAATTGATTGGAAAGGACCCACACATTAATGAGGGTAATCTGTTTTATACAATCAATTTAACTATCAAACTCATCCAAAATATCTCTGCAGAAACATCCAGAATGGCATTTGGACCAAATATCTGTGCCCCTCTGTGGCCTACTTGGGTTGACACATAGAATTAGCCATCATACTTTGCAATAGTTAGTTAATGTAATTCCAATTTGATGGCATGACTTACAAGGGCCCGTGGTATAGGACCTTAGTTATGTCTTTGTTCTCAGGTCGAGCTTAGCATTATCCACCCACCTGGGCCCCAAGAGGTCAAGGTCTCTATTGCCTTAGAATCCTTTGCATTAGTGACTCCTTCTCACTTTCACGTATCCTTCTCCTGCTCTATTCCCTGTGTCCTCACTCTTACCCCCAAATTTTCTTCTCATCTTCCATCTAAATCACTTGTACTACTTGGGATGAGTTTGTGCCCCAGAGGACATTTGTCAATGTCTGGAGATATTTTGGTT